ACCTTGAGTTATACAACTGGTATTACCAAATTATGAATAGCACTTAAATAAAGATTACACAGTGAATATTTTTATTTTAAATCCCCATCTGTTGCTTAATGTCACTTCAGCTGTTCAATTTTTTAATGTTTCTCTACACAAGTAGCCAATAATTGCACAAATCAGTATAAAATGCAAGATAGATTTTTAATCTCATTTTCTAAATGAAAAAACAGTACCGTATTTTTCAGTCTTTTAAAAATTCATCTCAATTTGATAAGGGTATTAATTAAGATTCATTCTTATGTGAAATATTTATAAATGATGAAAAATCCTGCTTTATCTCAACAATCAACCAAAATTCAGCAAAAAAATACATAACAGAGAATCCACTAACAAATAAATAGTAAGTTTTAATTTTCACTGACATAGCATAACAATGTTTTGACAATATACCTAACTTTAGTGTTTGAACAGCATTAAGTTCACACACACACATTGTATAAATCACTCATATTTATCAAATTAAAAATAAGTATATCTTTTCATATGCCAAGAAAGCAAGAAAGGCCTACATATTGAATGAATTTAAGAAACAAGATACTTTTTTTCTAGTATATGATCTGAACTGCTATGAATCAAAAGCAAACTGGTTAAAGATTTTCCCTGCATACAGCAAAACATTCTTCATAGATACCTGTCATTCATGAAGTGCCCTCCACCTTTTTTTTCTTCCATACTTGGCACATAACTGCTTAAACACAACTCACATTTCTTAACATCTCTTTTCTGTATTTCTAGTTGCCCCATCTTTCCCTTTGCCTTTTCCTTTCTAAGTAAATTGGGTCTTTATAAAATCCTATTTCAATTTCCTAAGCAGAAAGTCAGAATCCAATCTAATACTCAACTATACTTTTGGACAACTGGGCAATCCATTCGCCAGACTATAAGTGTCACTATATTTACACAAATGTATATTTTTTAACTACAGTACAACTGTCAGTCATTTTACAGACACAGCAGATGTAGATTTTAAAAATATTCTTGCTAATGAATATACCCAGGATGAATTTTTTCCGCCAGGCTTTTCTTCTTTTTCACATGCACTAGATTGTCTCTACCTGTACAGATGTCTGTAGTGCCTCCTACCACCACTGCCCTCATACCAACAGCAATGTCCACCTTTTATCCAATCAACACCAAACTACCTTTAGACCCCTGAATATAACAGAATTGCCGCATACCTTTATGTCTGTATACGCTTCAAATGATCTTCCACCTTTGTTCAACAAGCAAATTAAAATTCAGTCCCCCAAACCCTGTCAGTTTCTCTTTGAAGTCTTCTTTGAAGTCTAACCCCTCCTCCCAAGACCCTGATACTAACAGAGATAATTTCAACTTCTAGATATAATTCTCCATTATACAGTTATCAAACTTATAACCTGGTATCCACCTAAGATTTCAGGGCATTGTACACTTAGTTCTAAACCCAACAAAGCCCACTCATGTTCATAAAACTTAAAATCTGTGACAAAGCAGGGCACGGGGAAACAGACAAGTAAAGAAACACTATGATAGAGTTATTTTAACCCACTGTTCTCCACCACTTTTCAAAATACAAATAAAATTTACAAAAATGTGGAAGACTAATCACAAGGCATGAAAGAGTATATCTATTAAATCTTAGATGTTTCACTGGTTTATTATGATAAAAATCAAACAATGTATTAATACAAGAAAAACACTCTTATTTCATGTATCTCTTTAAATTGCATGTATTTACAAAGTATGTAAAGATGCCACAATATCCTAAACTCAATAACTTCCCTAAAATTTTGATTTCAATTAAAGTAACATATACTAATACCTTGATATTTAAGTTGGTCAAACTACAAGCAAATAAGTTCCCCTCTACTATACAGCTGGTATTTTTTTCTTTTTTCTTGGCAAATTAGAAAAGCAAATTGTCCAGTTTCTAAATGTAACAATGTAACCACCCCCAACAAAGTCACATGTTAACTTCCCCACTATAGTTGGGAAAGAAGATATTAAAATATATTACAAATAAAATATTTAGTAAGCATACTTCTAATATGTCACTTTAATTTGATGGTTAGCACTCAAGAAAAATCATGATTGGTCTTTGTTCCTCATTGAACACATGGCCATGTGGCCATAAATAAACTGTAATGTGATACAGCTATAAAATCTTGTAGTATATATACCTTTAATTACTTTATTAATAACTAAATCTTAAACTCATGTTGCTTAAGTTATTTTAAAGGTAGTCTTCATTTCAGAGGTGGCTTTAACAAACCCTCCATAATACTGGATTTCAGTTTCTTTCATGCAGGATAGCATGCTAAACAGAACGCAAAATTCTCCTGTCATACTCCACTGTACCTAGCCAATACCTACCGTAACACTCCTATGCATTTCTCGTTCATTTAAATTTCTTAAATCATTACTAAAGTAAACTAGAAGTGTAATGAAAAACTAAAGATGGACCGCCTTCTATATCCACTGTATTGGTATTACATGAGCACTTCACAGAAGAAATCTCAAACTGTTCATTCAGTCATTCATTCATACATTCATGTAAATTTCCAGTGCCACCTACGGTTAAACAATTGGGCTGTATGTTAAACACACAGCAGGCAAGAAGGATGCCATAAACTCCCCCACATCAGTGGACCTTAATCCAATTACTCAATTGATGTGAGTAAAGACGATCACAAAAATTTTTTTGTTTTAATTTAGCACTGTAGAAGGAAAAGTCTTCAAAATCACACTAAGTACTTTTATGATTATATTAGAAAGTAGTCCTTAAGCCTATAACACAATGAAAATAGTATCAGAATTCTAATTAACTAAGTAGATCAACTTAATGAAATGAACAGCTAAGAAAGAGAAAACAGTGATGTTTTCAAATTAATAATTACTGGACAATACAACTACATTTCTACTTATGTTGCCTTACAATTAGCCTCATGCTTATTTTTTAATCATGACATTTTATATATTGAACCAAATGTTATGAATACTCACCCAAATACGCTATATTTAAGGGTGTTACTATAAAAGTCATAAACACATGGAAAATACATATATTATTAAAATAATTCTTGAAAACAAAATTTAACTTAGAGAGCCTACTTTTTAAATGAAAGCCAATACTCTTAACCAAAAATTAAAATTTAGAAGTATAGCTAAGGAATGGTGAAAGGAAGAAAAAAAAAAGTACAAATGAAGAAAAATAACAATGCTGCAGAAACCTAATAACCCTAAAAATACTGCCACTTTCAAACAGTATAATTAAGGGAAGAGAGAAAATGACCAGGCTACATGTTCCAGGAAATATAACCTATGATATCCTAAATTTCTAAAAGAAATTTGCTAATGACCAAAGAGCACCTTGCCTATGTTCCTTCAGTGTAGCACATGAACTAAAATAATAATAATAATGGCAAAATAACCACGAGGCCATCGTGACTGTTTAAAATATATATATATATTCATTTTAAGACTAGGAAAGAGAGGAGGTAAGGACTTATTTCCTCAGAGTCACATCCAAAAGGGAGGGGGAAAAAAAGTAGAACAAAACAAGAGAATGAAGTACCTACTACAATTGCACCACAAATTCAGAAAACACATTTCAAAGCTACAGGACAATTACTGGCATTAGAGAAACCGTACGTAAATCACTTAATATCTTGGTACCTTGGTTTTCTCAACTGTTAAATCAAAGTTTTAGAAGAGATCATCTGAACTTCATAACTTTGATCTATTTGCACAACTCTATGATTTTCCAAATCCTTTAAATAAAAAGTCTCTCAGCTATTTCTAAGTGTTGTGCGAAATTTTTAACAGAGATGCTACAATATAAAAAAAACATTAAAACAAAAATCTAAGGAGAAAATAGCAAAACAAAAATCTGAGGAGAAAATAGCAAAGCAAAACTTCTCAGGGTAAAGCAAAGTATGCCTATACTCCTTGAATGGAGAAAAGATACCCTATAATAATTCTAAGTAATGATTACCAAATTGCTGCCTACACCAGGGTTTATAGGAAGCATCTGATAAATATGCAAAATAATTAACAAGAGAAAGCTTCCAGGCCTACTTCACATTAAAGAATGAAACCAAGTTTAAAAAAAAATTACCTTCACCACTTTTTAAAGAACTCATCATATATTAGTTGTAGAAAAATAAAAACACAGGTTATCCAAAGAATAATTAAGGACTAAGTATGTGAATGAGCTCTCCCAGTAAGAGCTTACTTGCCTCCAACACTAACCACTTTAAAACCAGGTATTTCAAGAATTAATATGACCAAAATTAAAAAGCTACAGTTCTTCTAAAATATTTAGCAACATAAAAAGAAAACAAAACCATGTTTTTGTTTTTGTTTTTAAATAGCAGGTACCCCATTACCTACTATTCTGTGTTACTGAAATGCACTACTATTGGTTCTATTCTGCTCTTCCCCCCAGATTAGATCTTAAAATACAGTCTCATCTCAGTCCAGTCTATTTTCTACAGCAGCAAATTACTAGCAATTTAAATGAAGACAATCTTCTTTAATATCAGAATGATTTTTTTAGACCTAAGTAAACTGGGCGTGAGCATTTATTGTATCCTAGAAGAAATGCAAGATTTGAAATCCTATTTAATTAACAAACTTCTCTGAAAACTTACACTGTGAGTAAAATTATGGAGCCATGAGAGTATAACTATTCTCAAACATCTTTAAAATGAACTGAAAATTTCTTACACAGAACTTTGAAAAGTATGCTCAGTTTCACAAGGAAGGTAAAAAAACACTACCATCTAAAATTTTTAAATTACTGAGTTTGCAATACAGTTTATCAGAAATTAGAAATATATTGAACATCATTATGACATAAACAAGTCTTGAAACAAAAAATAAAAATATAACATCAATTTTCAGTATAACCTATTGAATAAAATTCATTGAAAAATTGACAAAAATGTTTTATTTTCCAGACCAAATAATCTTACCTTAATCATTTTGCTGTTAAAAACCTCAAGACATTAATTTCATTTTTCATCTGTTCCTGCCAACAATGCTATGACAGGCCCTGCAGGAAGCAGCAAAATATCAGTGATGGAGTGCAGATAGTAGGTGTTTTCATGATCAAGATTTGTCATAGAAAAGGATATCCATACAGTGGTGTGAAACTTGGAAAATACTGAAAACATCTCAAAAAGTTTATCAGTGTAAATAATTCTCTTTTTTACTTGTAGTCTTAAAATGTTTATTCTTATTCAATGTCTTATTAAACAAAAAGTTAAAAATTATAGCAAAAGTATATATGTGAAATTTTAAAGTATTTCTATATTGATAAGAATTGATTAAAAATAGTTAATCATGTCAAAAATGAAAAACTTTGACTAGAGAATAAAATAATTTATGTTTTAAAGTACTGAAATGAATCTCTTGACCTCTAGATAGCATAGCTTTAATCTTATTTCTTTTAACTACTATAATTACCATCTATTCATAATTAAAGTAAAACTTATTTTCTTCTCAAGTAGTATCTTCAGTATCAATCAGTTATTACCAATACTGGTAAATACTCCTTCAGGAAAAATACACAGTTTCCAAAAATGTTAGAAAAAAAGTCTGTGAAAACTCCAAAACTTAATTACTGTTTGGTAAATAACAAATTATATTCAGTGGATACCAAAAAATTCAGATTAGTAAAGTTAGTAGAAAAGTCAAAGCTATAAAACTGTTTTACAAAGACTTCAAATGGTTTTTACATTCCAAATTATTTTGAGATAATACAGATTTTGCCAGATTTTGTTTAAATGTATTTTTACCTTTGAATATATTGCCTATTTAAGGGCTGATTAATGAACAGGACTGTGATATCTATATTCACTGGGAATACTATTAGAACACACAAGAAACTTACATATGTCATAGATGCATACTCAAAGTCAATACTTCAAACAGATTGAAAAGTTAAAAACAACGGAAATAAATGACAGACCAATTTTTTGAGATTTTGACTAAATTTTAATTTACTTGTAATTAAATGTGGGAAATATTTCAATAGGACTCATTAAGTTCAAAATCTTAAAAAATATTTTTCATATGCTACACCTATCCTGTTTGTTGGAACACTTCAAACTACTCTGCAAAGTTTACTTGCCAAAGCCATCAATATTCTAAAAAGATACAACTTAAATATTACATTTTTTTAACTTCCTATAAAAAATAAATGGTAATCTGAGATAATATTTTTTAAAAAACTACCAAGTACTTCCACTTATTTCCACTCACTCATGTTTTAAATATGTACTGGTGGAATTGTGAAATGTAAATGCTTCTCACTTAAGGTTATTTTCTTTTTATTTCTATACCTAAAGACCCTATCCTTGTTTTATATACATTCTATCAGACTCATGAAAAATCAATTCAGTTGAAAATATTTCCATATTAAAGATATGGGAAAGCTGATGCCATACCTTTAAAGAATAAGATGAGGAAAATGGAAACTTCATCAACCCAAGTATCAGAAAGTATTGAAAACCACTACTTCATTCCTTGCGTGTTGCGTCTTATACCATGACACTTCAGTCTCTAAGGGTCAGGATAATTAAGCTCCATAGCAGCTGCAGTGCAACGTGAGATTATACACTGTTGCAGCTCCCACCAGTCCAGTCCAATTACCTGTAGTATTCCAGTACTGAACAAGTGACAACTAACCTCTTCTCTCTAGTCACTTGCTCCCACTGGTCTACTGATAAATGTTAAAACAAACTAACCTCTTTTTGGAAAAGACTGCAAAGCTGAATGCACCTGCTGCAGGCTGCAATGATGAGTCCCAGAGAGATGTTTGTCAGTCAGATCTCTGCAGATGTTGTTTAACTTTATGCTAAAGCTGTATCCAAAGATGGAAATGAGATGGCAATCAAGCACAAATCTCCCACCTTCGTCCCCCCAGTTTTATTTTGAAAAGCAGCACTTACTCATAAAAGTTGTGTTTTAAAATATAGCTCCACTAAACTGGACACAACTAAGACTCTGTAGTTAAAAGTTCTATGGTAAAAAATGTTTATTAGGCACTGAAATTTAGTTAACAAGTGGCATAATATGTAGTCAATAAATGTAATTTGTGTCATTTAATAATATTTTTAAAAAATTAATTGTCTGAAGCCAGAGCAAAAAAAACCCCAAATAATACAACTATAAAATACATAAGTTTTTAATTGATGGTTGTCGGTGAGGTTTTTAGTAATATCACATACTCCTTAGCATTTTCAAGACACAGATAATTTTTCCTCTTGCTGTATGAAACATCTTCAATACATAAGTATTGAACTATATCACCAAATGTGTTCACTATGTTTAAACTATTCCTGAAATCCTTTGGGGAAGCATTTGCAAGACAATGTTGTTAGATAGATTTCATTACAATGACACAAATTTTAAATGAGCTATTTTTCCAAAGCCCAGAAAGCATCAAAAAGCAAATTTCAAAGCAACATTGTGTATATGATTCATGAAAACACCAACACTATAAATTAATGATGTCTTATAACTTACTATATCAATATCAAAATGATACAAAAAGGAATCAAATAAAATGTACAGCTAAAATTTTTAGTGCTAATTTATCTTTCTAAAAACCCCACAAAACATTTGCATATACAAGATAAGAATAAAATTGTATCTTTTGGAAACTGTAATGTTAATATAGATTGTGCTATGCTAGTAATGTTCCTTCCTATGTTAAGATTTCGTATTGCTTAAAGTAAGAAAATAAAGTATTAAAAATTAAACCAAAATACAGCAAATTTTCAGATACTAATGTTTAAGTAAAGGATTATGTTTCTCCTTCAACTCTAGATATAGAGATAAAACATAGAAGTAAACCTAACAATAGGTAGTGTGTCAAATAAACATTACAACTTTAAGATTCAAGGAAAAACACTTTAGCAACTCTTTGAAGATACTAAAATCAAAGGTATGACTTAGTGTAATGATAACTATCCTATTAAACCCACCCAACAATGTTGGAAATTATACTGTTTTATTTTCTCTACTTGTTATAGTTCTATTTATCACTAATTTTGCCTTAACATATATACCAATAAATGTCCTATATTCTTTGCATCTAAGATCAAAGTACAGACTGCAACTTTTAGAAGCTGTAAGAGATTCACATTCATATGTACTACCAACATCATAACACTCTTCCTTCAATGATGTAAACAGAAATAATGTTTTAAATTCATTATCTCCTCTGATTTGCAAAAAATTATCATAATTATACAATTCTAGTTCTAAAGTTTAATTTGGCCACATATTTTCCCCTTTTCAAAATAAAAGCAATGTTGGGTCTTTCCTTCCCTATAAAAAATTTCACTTACATTCTGCTTTTTTATGATTTAAAAAAACGTATAATGGTTTGTGTTTTTTTTAAAAAGCACCACCCAATTTGGACAGTAAGAAAAACTGAAATATAATGAATGTACAAATAATAAGTTCAAATTTTAAATTAGCAACCATAAAATGAAATATTTTTTATTAAACGTGATCCTAGTTTTATAACCACAAATACAAAAACAGTGTAAAATAGACACAGATTCCAACACCATAATGAAGGATTCTGTTTGACTGATGTAATGAATATCATATAATAGAATAAAAATAAGTATACTATGATATGTTCTAAAATCTAAGGAATATAAGAAAATATTTATTGCATACATCCGTTATCATTTCCAACCAATAATGCACTCAGTAAGTTTTTCGGATTACCTACCTGAACCATCCATTAAATAATTTCTACAGATAAAAATCAGTATGTTTATTAACAAAACCCAAACATATCCTTATGCCAAATAAAAGAATAAACATAAACTATCATCATTCTGAAAAGGAATACAATAATATATTCCTCAAACCAAGAAAGCTGTTTTTTACTACAAAGTAACTTGCTATAAACTAATTATAAAAAGATATATAAGTAAATCAAATTGGCTTGCTCTAATCATGTAAGGAAAAAAGGTATATTCCTAAACCACCAGAATTAAGTCAGTACTCTGTAAGATTTGATTTTGAAATAGATAAATGGATTATGTAGTACAGCAAAAATGATCTACTTGCAGATCATTTTATCTGATTGCAGTAATTGAAGAATACATTTTACAATTCCTCATCACACAATTTTCTCGTTTGTTATTTAATACATGACATTGAAAAACACAATGCAATATCCAGCTGTACAAATTGTCAAATTAATGTACAAAAATGTTTTCTTCATTTCAACTATAATTTTAAAAATTACTCACAAAGGCAGGGTTGCTTAAGATATTTTCTAAAGAAATAAGAAAAACAAGCAAACAAGGAAATTATATTGGCTATAATTTTTTAAAGCACCTATCGTTTGAGTTAAAATGTATTAAAATGTCCCCAAAGTGTGTCTGTATTCGGTGTTATACATCCTGAAGAAAGTTTTCGAAAACACACTAGTATTTTAACTAAACCTTACAAACACAATTACATTGTTTAAAAACTTGGGTAATTTGAGAAAATCCATTAGGTTATACAACTAAAGAAGACTTTTCCCCAAATATGCTCTCTTACCAAATAAGAAACAGAAAAGGGCTTCATGAAATAAACACCAGGCATATTTATTCTAGTAGATTATGACAGTCATAAATATACATATATATAGCTTTAAGAACTTCATATATGTATGAAAGACACAAAAATGGGATTCCAAATGATTTCATTAATCCTATAAGAAATTCTTTATAACTTCGTGATAAGATCACAGTTTAGTTCATCTGAGATGTGCAAGGTAAGTGTCCCTTACGTACATCTGAGTAAGAGAAATTGAAAAGAGCTCAGAGGCTATGTTGAAGAATACCGGGATCTTAAATTGTTCTGCAGACTTGTGGTCAAGTGTGAAGAGAAAGACTATTAAAATTAAAGTCTATCTGAAGCAAAGAGATTATCTGTCCAAACAGGTAATAATCTGGTTAAAATTGTATTTTAATACAAACTGTTCAGAATTCTTTAAGCTTCTTATAAACTACAAGGCTTTATTTTATCCTTAAAATTGATCCCACACTGTATGATTGGTTTCCACCTGTTACCGGCAAAGTATAGCCTTCTTTTATCCGACATTTCAACTCACATTTGATCAGGTTACGTCACTACACACTCGAATTTTATTCAACGCATTCCAGCTTTCCATTTTTTTCCAACAGATATTCTTGCTCTATACAAATAACATGCCTCAGAACTATAAATAAAATATTCAATTTCAATATAATAAGCAAAAAATGTACAACTAAGTGGACTAAAAACAAAAGATCTAATTCTCAGTGCACCCTTTCCAACCCACTGAAAATAAACTATATTCAAATTAAAAGACATTTAATTTACTATTTGGAATATCCTTGATAAACACTAATTTTCTGTAACATCCCTGCACATCTGATACCACCTCATGTATAATGCAAAAAAGCTATTTCATTTTCATCTATTGACAGTGAATTTAATTTACTATTGCACCTCTTTTCCTAGAACTATCACATTATTAATTCTGCAATCAGGCTCTTTTGAGTGCTTTTATTTGTACTAAGGGTTTTCACAATCCCATATTGATTTTTTTTTATCATAATATACCTTTTAAATATATGAATGGGAATATGTTAGCAAACTTTCTTAATGCATAAGGGAAGTTTCAGAGACAAGGACAGCCATCTGCAAAACTACACTCACAGGAAACAAACTTTAGAGGAACATCGTGTCTAATATATTACATTTTAGTTTAATGCTTACAAAAAATACTACATTTAATTTATAAAACTGAATGATAGTTTCAACCACTCTAAAACCTTCTTATCCAGTATAATGGTCTGTTTCTAACACCAAGTGATTGGCTATGAAAAAGAAGTCCTCCAAATGTTCTGCTTACATTCATGCCAGATGTCTTTGCTGTATTAAAGAACTCTTACTGAATTAGATCACTGAAAGCAAATCAGCTTTTCTTTTCCACCAGGAAGAAAAAAAATTAAAGCAGTATCGGTTCCCTCAGCACTGAATTAACGTTTTTGATAGCCATAAAGATAAAATAACCTTTAAAAAAAAATCGCAGAAAGCTAGATTTAAATAAAAGCAAATCAGCTGATAATGTTTTATCTAGGAAATGTACTACTCAATTACAGAGACTTTTCTCTTAAACCTAAAATACATACAGTGATTAGCAAAATATAAAAAAGAAAAAGAAAAAGATGGACATGCAGAACTATTTAACACTTAAGAAGGCATACTTGAAAGTAAAAATCAAAAAATTTATACCACCTAGGAAACTTCCCATATTCCAGTAGGTTACTGTACTACACTAACTGTCAACATATTTAATTAAATTTAGCTCTTAAGTTAACATGAATTCTGAAGCATTATTTTACTTCTTGCATAACAGTATAAATTTCCTTATATCAATTGCATTAAAACTGAAATATTTAAAAAATCTGAAGAGGCAACATTTGTCCTCTTTACTTCACTCCAAGGCCAACAAACAAAGCAATGAAGCAGAAAGAGGTACATAATGGATTCAGAAGTAAATGGTCCATTCTTTAAGAAGCCTCCCTACCCCCCTCTTCGGAATTCACTCTAAGCTAATTGTCATTACAATGATGTCTGAAAACTTCAGAAGAACCCTGTTTCCTGATGCCAGATGTCCAGGTTTCTATCTTGAAATTTTTGAATTTTTTTGCTAATAAGAATTATTCAGAAATACCCGAATCATCTTGCAACTGGTCTAATTCACATACACAGTACAACAATTATAGGAAAAAGGCATAATCAACAATAGAAATAATCTGAAAATTTTTCCACAACATACTCCAATAAAGCAATATCTAAATAAAGTCTCCAGTATTGTTTAAAAATTCTTTCAAGACAGCATACAACACATGTAGATCTTTCCTTCCTGTAGGGAGCTCATCAAACAATCTCTTCACCATTGCACCTACCTGGGTAAAAATCTTTGGACTTAGACAGCTTGATGGTGGCTCCAGTTTCTTTTTGCAACTGAACAATTGTCTGTCCTCCCTTCCCAATTATAGATCCAGCAGCATAACTAGGTATGAGAACCTTTAGAAAATACTGGCCGTCTTCTGAAAAATGCAAAGAAATATACTCGGTTAACACAGTATTTCAAACTTTGTATCCCCTCTCCACCCTCAAGAGAGAAAAACAGCAACTAAAGCACTGGGTATATAACTGCAGGAAATATGAAGTTAAACCATGTTTTGAGAATGAAAATAAGCCAATTACACTGAAAAACGAATACGCACAAAATGTTTCCCATTTTATAGGATTTATACTTTCAAAGCTTGGAATTAAAATATAAACATATACTATTATTTTGCAGCACTGTAAAGACTGGTGACTAAATTCCAGTTGTTATTCCAAACATGGAAATCTTCCAATTCTATCTGTGGCAAAATGAAATGAACTGACCCTTTAACAAAACTTCAGAGATTTATAAGATGACGAACCTTCACTTAACATATTGAAAAAGAAGAAAAGCCCAGGACTGTAAATAGTGATGAGCTGTATTTATTTGTCATTAACAGACACATAAGGACTACAATTAGCCATTGCCTATATCCTACTTAAAGTCCGCAAAACAACCATTCTCCTACCAAATAATCCACTCAAACTGTGGGGTGTATTCCAAGTCTTCAATAACTGCCAGAAAATAACTCAGTGTGGTGGACTGGCAAATCTAACTAATCCTAGTGCATTTCTTTAGCAGTTCTTAGTCTACCGTGAGCTCCTTTAAGCTCATTAATTAAAGGACCTTAAGAAGAATTTTGCCAATACTAAAAAGCTTAGGAGTCATTTATATTAAATACTATTAAAAGTGACAAAACAGATAATGTTCCTTTCCCAAAATAATCACAACTTTTAAAACGGAGAGGGAGTCGAAGAATCAGGAAAAATAAAATGAAATGTTTTAGAAAATAAAGCCAACTCCACAAACTTTAATTTCCATCAACTTGATCACGTCTTATACAGGAGACACCCCGGTAAATCCAGCTTTCTTAGTGTGAATGAATGTTCCAAATGTTGCGGTGTGCCACTCAAAAGACCCCCATCCGTCTACAATGCATATGCTGGAGATAAATTCACCTCTGCTTCGATGCATTGGGTGCATTGTTAAGATGACTCCAGTGCAAATGAAGAAGCGATATCGGTCCCGTTAAAACTCATCTTCCAAGGAAGCGCAGGATGTTAACTAACAAGTCACCGTTCCAGACACCCCCAACCTCGTATGCACCCCCCTGAAGACAAATCAATGAAATATTTGCACCGACAATCTAAGTGCGGTAAGGGCATGCACTCATCAAGATTTTGCATACTACTTGTGGCCCAAAGCAAGAGGATGGAGAGAGGAAAAACTCTCCGGCGCCCCAATCATTCGCAATCCGCTACCCAAGTGCCATTTATTTATTTATTTTATCAGACTGTTAAACGCAGCGCGCATCTTCGGGCGGCCATCACCTCACTCCGGGGTCATCCTCCTCCTCCTCCTGAATGGACCGTCTTGCCCAGGTCTAGGATATTTACATGGTCAACCTCTGGACCGATTAAATGGAAAGATAGGTCTATTCCGAAAAACTGGTCGCCATTTTGATGAATGATAAACACAGAAATGGAAATGTGTAGGGGACAGCTAGGAGCGGGGCAGGTGCAGGGGAGGGGGCGCGGGGCAGGGGCGCAGGAGCCGCCGGGTTCGGGCTGGAGGTGTCCGGGCCGCGGGAGGGAGGGAGGGAGGACGGCGAGAGGGAGGGAGGCAGGGGCGGGCGGCGGGGGATGGGGCCAGCGGGGAGGTGGAAGCGATACCCACCGCCCGTATTGGTCCTCTTGGTGCTGCCGGCTTCAGGGGGGGCTTCCAGCGGCCTTTTCCGCGAGTCCGGCGGGTCCAGGTCTATGGGAACCCCAGTGTGGGTCCCGTTCTGCTGGATGGGAGCTGCCGCCATCATGTTTGCAGTTCCTGCCGCTGCTACCGGGAGAAGGTTCTCCCTTTTGTTTTGGCTTTTTCTTTTCTTTTTCTTTTTTTCTTTTTCCTTTTTTTTTTTTTTTTTTTTTTTTTTTTTTTTTTTTTTTTTTTTTTGCGTTTGGGGTTTCTTAAGGTTTTTTTTTTTTAATCGGATCAATATAAATCTCTTTAAGAAAAAAAGCAATGTTGCTGGTTTGTTCTCACTGGGGAGGGGGCAGGGCTGAGGAGCAGCTGCAGTGCAGTGTCAGAAAGGAGACAGGGGAATGGAGGGGGTGTGAGAGACGGAGGGTGAAAGAAGAAGAAGAAAGGAGAGAGGGGGAGAGAGTGGAGAAGGGAGAGGGGCGAGTGAATGAGCGGGAGGAGGGGACCGGGGAGGACGGGCAGAGGGAGTGGGAGAGCGCGAGGGCTGGCGGGGCGCGGGGAGAAGCCGAGGAGGAGGGGAGAGTGAGGGAAAGAGTGAATGAGCAGGAGGAGGGGAAGGAGGTGGATGTCGAGAAAGGAGCGAGCGGCAGAGGAGGGCAGGAGCCGGGAAGGAGCGCGGCGGTCCCCGCGCCGCGCTAGCGCTGCGCTCGCTCCCGCTGCTGGTGCTGCCGCCGCCGCCGCTGCCGGAGCGGTTCTGCCGTTGCCTGGGCTGCTCGGCGCTGCTGCTGCTGCCGCCCGGTCTCGCTCATTATTTCTCCCGCTTGTTGGGGGGGGCTGGCGGGGAGGGAGGGGGGTGGCTGTGAGGGGAGGGTAGAGAGGGGTTGAGTTCGTAGACTCCCACACACTTCGCGCTCGGGTCCCTGCCTCTCAGCAGCGCCGCCGCCTCCCAGCGCCGATGCTTCAGCCGACGGGGCAGCTGGGGGGTGAGGGGGAACACCGCGGGCGGGGGTGAGGGAGTGTGTGTGCGCGGGCGTGTGCGCGCACGAGGGGAGCGCGTGCACGGTGAGGGCGCGCGCCGGCGGTTGGGGCGGGAGCGGGGGCCGGGGCGCTCCTGTGGGAAGGTAGGGGTGAAAGGTCGCCGGTCCCCGGCAACACGGCTCAGGCAAACGTAAGCGGCTTGTCGCAGAAACCAAGGGGTCCACGAAACGCGCTAGGCTAGAAGGCGGGAAGGAGAGATTACTGACAGCCGTGCCAGCCAATAAAATGGAAATGTGAGCAAGGTTCTTCGGGCCCCTTCCCAATCAGGAAGCCTGGGTGATGAGGGGCTGCGAAGGGGCGGGGTGGGATCTTGGTCCAGCTGGTACTGGAGCGGCGATAATTTTGGCTGGTCTAAGAAGGGCATTCGAGTGACCGTTGACAACGGGTGGGACAGCGTCAGAGCTGGAGTGAGAGCCTGCACTGTATGCTTCCAGGACTTCTAGCTAGGTGCATTAGTTTTTATTTTTAAGAGTTGGGTGAAAGACATTAATTAGTTAGCATCTCACTCATCGGCGATTTTCTACGGGATGGTTTCATCCAAAGAGGATTTCATAATCGCAGTGTGGCACCATTAGGGGACTTAGAGTGTCACTCGCCGCCATAAATCCTTTGGGGAACAAGCCAGGATATAAATAAATAAAGCTAGGTGTGGGTCTTCCCTTCAAAAGGCGCTGGTAGGCAGACTAAAGACAGGCAACAGCTGAGTGTGCACACAGAAATACGAGTGTCGGAATAAAATTCATTGCCATGTGCACAGCTTATGATTATACAGATCTTGGACATATCACGGACCTGAACGTCAACCCTACAACACCGAATAAAACATCTAATGCAGCTGGAATAGACTCTGAAAGGACGTTAGGCATTATCTAAATCAAGTCCCTCATTTTACAGATGAGTAAACTGACTCAGTGAAGTATTTTGCTCAAGGTCATTCATCAAGTTAGTAGTCTAATTCACTCAGTGTTCTAGGAAGCAGGATGGTAGAAAAGCATGGGCTTCGGAGTCTGAAATCTTTCTTGGTTTCCCGTCCTTGTAGGCTGTTCTACAAGTCTATCTTGGGCAAATCCCTTAACGTGTTGCCATTTATTAAGTGCTTACCACGTGGCAAACAATCCACTTTGCATGCTGTGTCAATTACATGCAGTATGTCGCGTAGTTATTACTGTACCCATTTTATGAGGTAGTTTAGGTTTAAAGATATTAGAAATTTACCCAAAGTTACACAGCTCTAAACACTGTAGTAATTTCAAACTCAGGTCTTCCTGACTGCAAGGCTGCTCTCTTAAATGTTGCAATACATTAGAGCTCCGGATTCCCTCCCACTCAAAACAGGGACTGAGACTCCAACCAATTTCCACCATTCTTGGGAGTCAAACGAGAGAGACTGTGGCAATGTATTCTAAGCTGTAAAAAGGATAAACATATTCACTAGATTTGTAGAATGAAGATATTCGTTCCCTATACTATCCACTACAACAATTGAACCAGAAAGATGGCTTTCATACTAAGCTAGCATAAGAAGGAACTTCACTGTAATTATGATATTCTAACAAAGAATATATGCATATCTAAAGCAATAACCAAAGTGAATAGAATAAAATTCAATTCCTGATAGATTAAATAGGCAATAGCAAGGAATACTAACGCTCCTCATAGCGTCCTTATTGGAAGAATCATCTAGGAGGCACTGGGATTTCTGGTGCTTTTTATGCAATGAGAGGTATCAGTCCACTGAATGAGAAAGAGAATAGCGTTTAGTTTGGAACTAAAAGTTCATCTGGACTACGGAAAAAACGTTTGCCTCTATCAGTGAAGAAGGTATGCTGAGAGCTGAAAGAAAAGGAAAGCAGGTAAGTTAGTGCATATTGGAAAAGGTCTATTAACCAAAGTCCAAAATTTTCATCTGATGTGTAATGTAATAGGAAACCACCATATAGCCTTTATGACCAAAATAAAGAGGAATTAAACATACAATTGGGTACAAATGGAACTGTGATGAGGAAAAAGGGTTTGGGATGAGTATGTGGCATTCAAGATAGTAAAAGGCTGATGCCAGACGTTGTACAAAGTGTTCAGTGTATAAAATTATGTAAGGACATTTTTAAATGAAAAATTACAAAAGGGCTGATATTTAGCACTAGATTTGTTTTAAAATAGTAAACGACAGTGGACAAAGATAGTTGAAGGACAGATAATTCAAACATATTACATTAAAGCCTGAGCAAAGTATTCAGTAGAATGTAATTTTGAACTGGTGAAAGACTGAAGTTAGAATTGGAAAATCTTAGTTTAACAAATCTCTAAAAATAAAATATTTCTAACATAGTTTAGAAAATCTTTGTCATTGCCATGCATAACTGCCATGCAGTTAAGTTGAAAAAGAGCTTATAAGTTAAATTGCTTTACAGATATATGCTATTACATAAAAGTCACACTGTATTCTTGTAGTATTTATTTGACCCTTCTCTTATTTCTTTCTTCAGACTTAATGTTTAAATAGTTATACCTATCGCTCCATGGGGCCCACAAATGGTAGATATAATTTTTAATGTGGGTGGGATGATGTATGGTAACTTAGGTATGATATGCCAGGAATCACAAAGACTATCCCAAGACCTAGTCAGACATCAAAGTATCAGTCAGCTACGAACTATTAGTAATTTGGACAATGAAGATTATCAGAGAATACATTCTAATTAACCTTCCATTTTTTAGTATTTTTTTAATTATACTTCTACATCATTCTTATTGCATGTCTCTATAATTCTGATTAAATGGACATAACAAACATTTTACCCTTTGTTTTCTGCATTTTGTACCAGCTAATAAAACTGAATAAATAAAAATGTATAGTAGATCTCAGTTTATTAATATTTGGTATGATATACCTTTTATGCTACAAATAAACTGTTAGAATATACTTTTTAAAAATATAATAGAAGCATTTGACCGTTTACTTCTCCCAAAAGAAATACAATTTTATTTTTTAATTAACAAAGCAATTCAGCTCTACTAATTTAATAATATTTATAACACCTTAAGACAGCCTACAACTTGTGTTAGTTACAAATATAAGCAACCATGATAGAAAATGATATTAAGATAAAGAACAAAATCCCTGGTCTTTATTGTCTTTTATTGAGAGAGTTTTTTTTCTTCCTGTTTCAGACTAAGTAACATAGACATAAGATTTTCTATTTTCAGGAACAATGATTGGCTTTCAAGACAAAAGACAGATAGTTGATATCCACAGATAACCCTACTCTCACTTTGTCTCCATGCTCCTGCTTTTCCTACAATCGATCCTGTTACTTACTCAAAACATAATACAAAACATAAATACTCCCACTACTTGAATGTCTCTTGAATGCTTTGGGAAAACATTTTCTGAATTTGTGTCTCACCAGAAGTAGACCCTGACTTAAAGATTCAAGTGCAAGTAGTGTATTTTGGAAATAATTTCAGGAAGAACAGTAGGACATGGGAAGTGAGGCAGGGAAAGGAAGGAAAGAAAAAAAAAAAAAAAAAGTTTAAATTACCAAGCAAGTTGTCATTGTTTTTAATCTCACTGTGATTTTCTTGAAGCCAGTTTAAAACACTAGCCCTAGAACTATCCCACTGGAAGTGTGAGAAAGCTGAGGTATATATATACTAGCTCCCTTCAGCCATTGGTCGAGATCTATTTCTAGTGGCCTTAACTCAGTTCATGCTGGCCAGTCTTCAACTGCGAGCACTGCATCTTTTTCTGAGCACTTTCTCTGGCCACTGGAGTCTGCTCTGCCCCTACACAGGCTGGAAACGCTGGGGCATTAACACTTCCTGGTGTCAGAACATCCCCACGGTGATGGAAAATCAGGCCAGTGGGCATGAAAATGATAGAGCACAGACATATGAGTGAGGCTCTACCAGTTTGTTAGAAGTATCGACCTAAATTTAGGGAAAAAGAAAATAAGAAGACTGTTAATACAAGGTATTTTTAGGAATCAAATAGTAAGGATAATGAAATAATTTGGAAAACTGAAAGTACTAAAAAAAGAAGGCTTTATAATTTCTATAATTCAAATATTGTAACCAAGCACTGAGTGTAAAAAGCCTGAATAATTTGTTTTCTCTGGGCTCTTCACAAACAAATTTTTAGTTTTTTAAGATATAAGTTATGAAGAATCAGTATTCTGATTTTGTTGTTGTTATTGTTGTTGTTGTTACTGTTCAATGTAGCACAAAGAAAATAGGAGGCAATATAATCCAAAAGATACATGACCTATCCCAATTCTTTTATAACAAGTTCTCTAAATAGACATATGGATACATATTGATTAGAAATAATTTTCTAAGATTTCACTAATGGAAAAATTATTTATTGAACTTTAACTTGTTAAAAATTAAACAGTTTTTATGTTTCTGTACTCAATAATAATAATAAATTCTCTATTGGTGGATATGTTTATAAAAGTATGAAAGCTCACACTAATTTATATAGAGACATAAATGTGTTCTATACTATCTCAAAGTCCTCAAATCTTAATATTCCATTTGTAAACATGTCATCCTAATAGATATGTTAGGATTAGAAAGAATACTAAATTCTTTGGCACTGAATATGCTTCCCTGGTTTCTAATGGATCATTAATTTTTCTAGCACTTTTTCTAAATATTATGAAACATATCATTTCATACTTTACACACTTGACTTAAAGGCAATAAATCTGA